GTGTTTCACACAAGCTCAAGATAAATTTACGTTTTATTCTACAACATAAAACAAACCCACAGTTACACCCCACCCCTGATTTTTTTTTTACTGTTTTACGTTTCTTAAAAAAGACAGTTGCTAACAAGTTGCTAAATGGGGACTACAGATGTTGTCAGAGACATTAAACATCATCACGCTGAACAGTTTATCAATTTATAGTATTTTCCAGCTGTAGTATAATTTGGCACTTACGGTTCCATCGTCCCAGAGTCAATGGTTTTTTTTGAATGGGAGTTTGATTAAATCCCCTAAAATAAGGTCCGTGTTTCACACAAGCTCAAGATAATTTCACGTTTTATTCTACAACATAAAACACACCACCAGTTACACCCCACTCTTGATTTTTTTTTACTGTTTTACGTTTCTTAAAAAAGACAGTTGCTAACAAGTTGCTAAATGGGGACTACAGATGTTGTCAGAGACATTAAACATCATCACGCTGAACAGTTTATCAATTTATAGTATTTTCCAGCTGTAGTATAATTTGTAGTACAATTAATTGTAGAATAACCAATTAATAGTTTCCCGCATTTTATATTGTTGTACCCTAACAAAATGATAGTTGAAATGTGGTACTTTATTCACTAAAATAAATTTAATCTTTATCATATCCAAAAACTCGCTCACTCTGCTGTTATTTAATAGATTAAATGCACTAGAATTTTATTGAATACTACATGGATACACGTTTTTAATTAAAATATTCATATTAATCAAGGATTTATTGACTTTTAATCGACCTTATTTCGAAATGTGCAGAAATATGTGCATTCATATGCGCTTTACTTATGATTATTTATACTTACTATTTATTATTGTTTCATTTCAGTTTTAGTTTGGCTCAAGTTTTGTATTTATTCCAGTTTATATGAAAAGGTTCATGTAACGTGGATTTAAATAAGTAATCAACAGAGTAAATCCTTTTCACTAAACATGTTTCTAAAAAAAGTTTGAAAAAGTTGTCGGGAGCGTGGTGGTGGTGACGTTGAAGGCGAGCGACCGTGGTGTAGTTCAATTTAGTTTTTAAGTTTTGGCGCTTATATTTAGGCTTCAAAATTCATAAGAGTTATATTATTTTGTGAAGATTATTTTGATGGACAAAACATGCATGAACTATGGTTGAACACAGATCTTATTTTTTACGATAATCCAAAAGCCTATGGAAAAATCCTATGGGCTTTTTGTTGAGGGAACCAGTGTGATGCTAACAGCCGATCCGCCTACAAAGTGGCGTCATAGTTCCACCACTCTATAACACATATGCTATAACAGGCCAACGGCTCAACTCACTAAACATTTTTAAGAGAAAAAAAACTTTCAGGACACAAAAACTCCTTAAAACAATTTTTAAAGTTGCAAGTTGTGAAAATGATGTAACCTAGGACCTTTCTACAGTGCGTGCCATTGTAAAGACAGTAAGTTTGGGGACTAAAGTGCCAACACAATGTTGAGTCGATAAAAACACATTGACAGGGAATCCTTTTGATCTGGTTTATTCATGCTGGTTGATTACTGGTTTTCTACAGGTATAAATATAAAAAGAAAAACACGAACAATCATTAATATGCACGCAAATAAGACAAATACTTAAAATGTGGCAATTTCAGAAAATTCATCTCCTTAAAGTTTTTAAAATCCTAAACAAACACTTTAGGCAGCAGCCATGCAATAATAAACTTAATCTGCCACATCTACTATTTATGAGAAACTGACTAACATGACTGCCTTTGCTTTTGGTTATTATTTATTTGTTTGCCACAGGTTGTATTTTGAATGAAGTGCTACAGAGAGGCAATAATAATAATAATAATAATTAAGTATTATTATTCCTATAGTGAATGTGCTGCAACATTAGCTTTAATACTTAAAATAAAACGTAACGTCCCATAAAAACTGTACCATGGTAACAATCGTTTCCAGCAAAACACCACATGGACAATCTACAGTAAATCAATACATTATAATGGGAACACCTTATTATCACCTTAACAAACAACGTAAAATTTCATAACATGTCTGGTATTTTGTTTAATTTCTGTTTTATAACAGTGGTGGCTATTACCAGTTTTATGGTAGTAACAATAAATGTACATCGGAAGCAATGGTTACCATGGTGAATTCTGTACCGTTAAGTGGTAAAGTTATCTGCACATCGTTGACCATCAGCAGCAGTTTTGGTTAAACTAAACATGAGAGAAGAGCAAAACAATTGCTTCAAAACTCTAGTCTGACGCAAATATATAATTTACATTCTTTTAAACACGAAGCATTAGTTAACACAATAAATCCGCTTTTACGGCAAATAAGACAAAGAACGACCTTTATGTAAAGCTTGTATGGTTGTCATAATAACCTACATTGTATGGCGTTACAATAAAAACAGGAAAACGAAATATGTGTGGATATGAGAGTAAATTGATAGCAGCTCGTTGATAAAATAAGCAATAAATTAAGCAAGTAACGTTAGTTGTGTTGGCTACTCTGTTAACGTTAGCTGCTAGTTCAGTTATTTCACATAGTCCTGAAACACACCTACTTTTTCTCAATCGTCTCTCAGTCGTCTTCAGAGAGCCCGGGTTTGTCCTCTGATACCATCCAGAAATACATGTAAAATCTGTCCATGACAGTTAGGCATTGGCCTATGGAGTTCGACACACAGTACAATAGACACGGTCACGGGAGACAGCATCAGCTGCCCAGGCGCGTCTCTTCTTCTTCTTCTTCTTAAGCGTTTTTGGCGGTTGGCAAACCAGCTAATAGGTGCTTTACCGCCACCTGCTGGACTGGAGTGTGGAACAAAAGTCTGGCTGAGAAATATAACTGGATTAATAAAAATTGTAAAAAAAAAAAACCAACAAAAATGTTTGCCCTACTATTCTATGATCTTCATATTCGTTCTAGGATACCTGTCTCTTTCAGATATGAAATTAACTGTACATATGTTTTCCTTAGTGCTGTTCCAAGTATATTTTCCAAAGT